GGTCGACTTGAGGTGGCTGTCGACTTGGGAGATCGACGGGCACATACAGGAGCAGCTGGTCGACGTGGTTGCCCGGTCGACCAGGTTACCTGGGCGACGAGGTTCTGCGGAGGAGTGCGACAGTCGCCCAGGTGGTAGTGGCGAGAACCGACCTCGGTGGTGGTATTCCGAGGTCGACGTGGCTGATCAGATGCACTCGTCAGCACGAGGATAATGTGATGTGTGCGCTGTGCAGGTGACGAGGCAAAGCACGCCAATCATCTACGAGCACCTGCGAAGCTGGTGCGGTGCTGTACTGCGGGAGCAACGCTGGCCACCGTCGACTTGCGGTGTTGGCACGCCGTCGACCTTCTGCGTTGGCAAGCCGCGACTTTGCACTGCTGGAGCACGGTCGACCAAGTCGTGCTGGCACGCGGTCGACCATGCTGTGCTAGCAGTCGTCCTGTTTGCATCCTAGCTCTGATGCAGTCTAGTCTTGTCATCTTGTGTGTACCATTGTTGTCAACTTTCTCTAGTGAAACTCTTGCCAATTCTCCCCGTGAACTAGCAAGCTGTGTGTGCACTAGGAAAACGACTAAGGAATGAACGCAGAGATTACACGAGCACCCGTGCCTAGCCCGTAGTCTAGATCTCGTTGATAAAATTATCTCCGCACCTTGGCCCCTCCTCAAACCTATGTGCCTTGGCCCCTCGCCGCACATGCGTTCGTTGGCATCTCCCCACACGCTCCTGTCTCCGCACACCACATGGGGCTCTCCTTCAACAATCTCACCGGCGCCGTTCCTGCCTTCACTGACGCTGTTCCTGCCTTCATTGACGCCGTTCCTGCCTTCATTGACGCAACCCTGCAAACCTTGTGAGTCTCCAGACTCTCCAAGGCCTGCCTCGCCTCACATGCGTATACGAGTGGTTTAGATTGAAAGGGATTTAACCAAACGGAATTGACGGGCGAAGTTTCCCTACGTATGGTGTTTCTGCTTGCGGAAGCTTTCTGCAGACACCCCTTCAGGTCCTCCTGCCGCTACTTCGGTAGTGCATTCGTGTTTTGGTTAGCTGGTAATTCATTGGGTTCCGTTGAATTCAATAGCTTTAGATGGGCGTGGATCGTTATCGCACTAGGATGTCTTCCCAGGCACCATCCTAGTATGACGATGCCTCATGCACCTTTTGGTCACAACCATGATTCGTGCTCCTACAATACTGGAGCTGTTCCAAACCGCATGGCTTCCTAGCGTGTGACACTCACGCATTCTCGCTCCTACCTCAGCGTGCATGTCTCCTCCTCTCCTCCACACCTCGGCCCTTCTACATTCCATGAGTGCGTGCAGAGACCTCTCTCATAATCACCGCACCATCATGCCTACTGCCCTTTCAACCGTTCTCACAACTCTGTAAGTCCCGAGACCTCAGCTATTAAGTTCCCATTGACCTCAGCAAGAGAGAGGGAGTTAAAGAAAAGGCTTGGCAGATGGGGAGAGGGGACGGGCCACACAAGAATCCACCACTCTCTTGGCGACGAGTGCAACGTTGTCTGGAAGTGGGGTGCACAGTCCACAAGGAGTCGACCTTTATTCGCCATTTGGTGTACCGCCTCTTGTCCAAATCTGGCGAGATCGCCTCAATGATAACATCTTCAAGACTGCCTCTCCCGCAAGGGCACTAGATAACACGTACGTGTTTTGGTCCACATACTATATTCAGGTGCTTGATCATGTGCTTGATTCACTCTCTTATGTGAATAGTGAGTCATATAAATTGACTTGAGTCGGCCCTACTGCATGGGCTCAAGTATACACATGATCGGGGTCTGACTCTACTTGACTCAATGCATACTCATTTCCCCACTGCACTCCATGGTGTTCCTGATTTTGCAATACATTACCTGATCACATGAAAGCCTTTTGCATATCAGCTATTCGTAGCATCCGCAGAAACATGGCAACATCGTGATGCTAAAATGTATTTTTCTTGACTGATTATTCTCAGCAACCTAAGCCACAACGACCTGGAGGGATCCCTGCCGCCCAATATCATACCCACAATGTGAGTTGTGCTGCTGCAACCTTCAGGCCACGTGCAAGTGAAGGGTCCATACTTTTGCCTTGCCATGTGGCGCCCAATAGCGTTCACCATGCACATTTCCCGACACACCTTGGTGGACCATAAAGCTGCCATGCCAGGCAACAGTCCCGCCCATGCCAAGATTCAGCCAAGACAAGCCAAGCCAAGCCAAGCCACGCCAAGCCAAGCCATGCCAAGCCCAGGTGCATGTGATAATGTACATTCGTTGAGGCGTTGCAAAACAAATGTACTATTGCTGTGTTGTCCTAGCACTCGTCTAGCAAGCAGAAGGTACTCACGCCCAACCAGGGGATCCGCCACGCAAGCAGGCCCCGAGGCAGGGGAGAATGAGCCATCCATTCTACTCTGCAATGAAACACAACGATGGTAGGTTCTTGTCTCGAAGGGCATTCTGAAGTGAGGGCGAGGGGGTTCAGACTGACGTGGCTTCTTGGACCTTTGCAGCCCATCGGAGGTTGCAGCAACTGTCCCTTCTCCAGCCTCATATTTTCGGGCTGTTGGTGTGGTGAAGGTGGGCGTGTGATCGCTTCGGTGGCTGCCTGCTTGCCAAAGCATCTGCAAGTCACCATGGCTGTCAGGAACTGCTTCTCGCATTGCACTGCTTTCCCACGTGTTGCGGCACATGTTCCTTGAGCTGCTATGGCGTCAGGGACGGCTTTTGACATTGCTGTTGCAACCGCATTAGTGGTCTTCCAGTTGTGAAGGATAAATAATTTCTGCCCAGGTCGAGTAGGGGTCAGAGCGTATGATGCAGCTCCACCCCACCCACCTCATCGTGCATGAACTTGCTCATAAGAAGTTTGAATACAGCCCCACCCTCAGTTCTGCATTACAATATGCTCGAAGACTCTATATTTGTTTGTGATTTTATGCTCATTCCTTTCCACACCAGTTTGGTTTTTATCCCTGTCTATATTGGCTCACACTTGTGCACATCCATTACCGTGACCCCGTCGCCCGTCGTCGCGTCCTGGGGGCCCGCGCGTCGCCCCTCCTCTCGTCGCCCGTCGTGGCGCCCCGGGGGCCCGCGCGTCCCCCCCTCCCGTCGCCCGTCGTCGCGTCCCGGGGGCCCGCGCGTCGCCCCTCCTCCCGTCGCCCGTCGAAGCGCCCCGGGGGCCTGCGCGCCGCCCTTCCCGTCGCCCGCCGCGGCGCCCTGGGGGCCCGCGCGTCGCCCCTCCCTCTCGTCGCCCGTCGAAGCGCCCCGGGGGCTGCGCGCCGCCCTTCCCGTCGCCCATCGCAGCGCCCTAGGGACCCGTGCGCCACCTGCATTTAGGGTATGGGATGGCGGGTGTGGGGGTGGCGGGTGTGTGCGCCGTCCCCTGCTCATCCTCCACTCCGTCTCCCACTGCTGCAGCTGCCGCTGAGGGGGGTGGGTGTGTGGGAGCCGAAGGAGTGGTGCTAGGGGGGTGTCGTGGGAGTGAAGCTAGGGGTGCAGCAAGGGGTGTGTGAACGGGAGTTTTGGGACAAAGGGGGAGGTTGAAGGGGGGTGGCCGCCGTGAAGCCAGCAGCTCTAGTCGCCCGTGAGACCGTTGCGCCAGTCGCCCGTGAGCCCGTCGCTCCATTCGCCCGTGAGCCGGTTGCTCCAGTCGCCCGAGAGTCAGTTGCTCCTGCAGCTCGTCTAGTCGCGGAGCCAGTTACTCCAGTTGCCCATGTGCCAGTTGCTCCAGTTGCGCCGTGTGCCAGCAGCTTCAGCTGCCGCCCACTACCTCCTCTCCTCTCATAGTCCCTCCTCCTCACTTGCCCTCTGTGATAGCCTCTAGCTTTGCTTATATTTGTAAACAATGAACTGCCGCTTGTTGTGCTGATCATACCCCACTTTGACTATGGGGGTGTGTCAGAATGTGTAGTTTCTCTAGCCTGCAGTGTGGTACTCTATAGTGAGTACGGCCCCTTAGGGTTTCCTATATGTATCCACCTGCTTGCTAGTGAAACGCCTCCTTTTGCTTATTCTCTCTTGCCTAACTAGCCCAAACTCTAGTTATGGCTCCTCATTCTGCCTACTATTCTGACAACCTCATCACTCACCTCCGCACTAGTCACACCCGCTACAGCCGCTGCGCTTCCCTCCGAGTTTCGCGCCAAGAACCCCCCCCCCCCCCCCCCCCCCCCCCCCCCCCCCAAGTACATCACCCTCTTCTACCTAGTCACCCGTCTCCCTGACTCTCTCCGCTCAGTCAGGGACCACTTTCTCTCCCTTTGCCCCACTGAGCTCACCGTCGACCTGCTTGGGGAGCGCCTCCTTGCAGTTGAGACTAGCATAGTCGCTGTAGGAGTGTCTCGAGGCGACCCTCGCGCCCCTTTCTTTGAGGGGTGCTCCCCCGTTCCCCTTATGCCCTCTGTTGCTTCTGCTGCTACTATCGACCTCGTTGGCACCGAGGCGGTCGGGGCTGCGTCTGCTCCTAGTGGGAGGCGCTGCAGCGGCAAGGGCAGGGGGGGCAAGGGTGGTGGAGAGCACGGCGGGGGCGGCGGTGGTGGCGGTGGAGGAGGTGGAGGGGATGGGAGTGGAGGTGGGGGTGGAGGCGGGAGTGGGGGCGTCGGTGGCGGCGGTGGAGGTAGAGGCCGCGGCGGCATCGGCAAAGGGGGGTGGCGGCGGCGGCGGTGCTGGTCGGGGTGGAGTCGTGCAGCGTGCAGGCTTTGGCGGTGGCCAGCGCCAGCAGCAGCCGCGTTCCCGTGAGGCCCCGTCGCTCCAGCAGCTTCGTGAGTGGTAGCTGGGCATGGGAGGTCTGGGGGTACTGGTCCCTGCGCTTAAGTTCTCCGCACAGGCGACCACCGTGGGGAGACGTGCGGGCTGCCACACGCTACGCAGCGCTGTTTCGGTCGCCTGACTAACGCCTGGCGCGCACAGTTTTCTGACGCTACTGAGCTCCCTCGCTAGGCTGATCTGCTTAAGTTTGGTGTTGCTATCTTTGATCTTGATTATGATGCTATCCTTGCTGCCATGTATGCTGTGACTATTAGTGCTGAGGGTGACTGTTACCTGTGTGTGCCGCCTGACCCAGGTATAGAGGCTGCTGCTCTGGTGCTAGTGAGTCTGCTACTCCAGGTACTGGTGAGCCTGCTGCTCCAGGTGCTGGTGAGTCTGCTCTCTCAGGTAGTGCGCGTGCTGAGGCCTTGCACACTTTCACTCTTGACTACGGTGCTTCCCGCTCTTTCTTTCGCGACAGCACCACACTCACACCGCCCAGTCGGCCGGTTGCTGTCTCCCTGGCGAACCCCTCTGGGGGCCCAGTCCTTGCACACTCCTCTACTGTTCTGCCGTGTCCGGCGGTCCCGTCTGGCTCACTGTCGGGTCTCCACCTCCCCTCATTCTCTACGATCTTGGTGAGTGGAGCTGACCTCTAGGACGTGTGGGTTGACCAGTTCACTCCTGGTGGTTAGCGGGTGGCCCACTGCACGTGTACTCGGATAGGCCGCCACCCTCGCCACGTTTACCCGTCAGCCTGGGTCGAGCCTGTACACCCTGACTACTGCGTCCCCTCCAGTTACTGCGTCTGGTCAGGTAGCCGCGTCTGGTCAGGTGTTTGCTGCTGCGTCCAGGTCTGGTCCGGAGTCTGCCCCCTGCTCATGTCGTCTCCTGTCACACCTGACTCTCCTTTGGCACCACCGGCTTGGTCACCCCTCCCTGCCTCGTCTTCAAGGTATGGCCTCCCGTGTCCTTGTCACTGGTCTCTCCCGGTCTCTCCCTCCCCTCCCACCGGGGCCTGCCCCTACCTGCGTTCCTTGCATCGAGGGACGGCAGCGCGCCGCTCCTCACTCCTCCGAGTTCCCTCCGACGGAGGCTCCCCTGCAGACTCTACATGGACGTGTGGGGCCCAGCCCGCGTCCGTGGACAGGGTCTCGAGCGTTACTTCTTGCTGGTCGTTGACGACTACTCGCGTTACACCACAGTCTTCCCCTTGCGTCGCAAGGGTGAGGTCACTGAGGTGCTGATCGACTGGATCCGCGCTGCCCGTCGCCAGCTCAGCGAGAGTTTTGGCTCGGACCTTCCTGTTCTACGTCTGCACTATGACAGAGGTGGAGAGTTTTCCTCCGACCTTCTGCAGGCCTTTTGTCGTGCGGAGGGCATCCGCCAGACGTTCACGCTTCCGGCCTCCCCACAGCAAAATGGGATTGCTGAGCGCCGCATTGGCATGGTCATGGACGTCGCTCGTACGTCCATGATCCATGCGGCTGCTCCCCATTTTCTGTGGCCATTCGCGGTTCAGTACGCTGCGCATCAGCTCAACCTCCAGCCCCGTGTCTCCGTTCCGGAGACCACACCTGCTCTGCGGTGGACGGGGAAGGTTGGCGATGCGTCTGTTTTCCGTGTCTGGGGATCTTGAGCTTTTGTCCGCGATTCTTCCGCGGACAAGCTGTCCTCCCGTGTTGTTCCCTGCGTCTTCCTTGGCTTCCCCCCTGATGCGCCTGGCTGGCAGTTTTACCACCCCACCTTGCGCCGTGTTCTGTCCTCTTAGGACGTCGGTTCCCTACTACCGTCTCTTCCCCTACCGCACTGCCCCCCTTCCCCCTCTCGCCGCTCTTCCTAGCACCAGGTCCTCCTCCGGTAGACCCCCTCCCCCTCAGGGTCCTGCCCCCTCACGTGTGTCCCAGGTAGACCCTGTCAAGCCTGTCGAGGTAGCTGTCGACTCTGGTACTGCAAGGGGTGCTGAGCCTACTGGTACGGGGCCTGGGTGTGCTGAGCCTGCGGGTGCGGGGCCTGGGGGTGCTGAGCCTGAGCGTGCGGAGCCTGGGGGTGCTGAGCCTGGGGTTGCTGAGTCTGAGGGTGCGGAGCCTGGGGGTGCTGAGCCTGAGCGTTTGGAGCCTGGGGGTGCTGAGCCTGAGCGTGCTGAGCCTGAGCGTGCTGAGCCTAGAGGTACTTTGTCCTTTGGAGGTGGTCCGGGTGTCTTGTCCCGGCGAGAGCCACTCTCTCCACCGCAGTTGCGCGAGTGGTTTGCTCGGCGCTGGAGCCGTACTACTGGAGCTGGAGTTCCTGCTGCTGCTAGAGCTGCTGGAGGTACTGGAGCCACTGGTCACGGAGGTGCTGGTACTGGAGCTGATGGGGCTGGTGGTACTACAGGAGTTGGAGCTGGAGGCGCTGGAGCTGTTTCTGCTGTAGGTGCTGCTGGTGCTGGAGCTGGTGGTGCTGCAGGACTTGGAGCTGGAGGCGCTGGAGCTGTTCCTGCATGTGGTGCTGCAGGAGTTGGAGCTGGAGGCGCTGGAGCTGTTCCTGCTGGTGGTGCTGCACGAGTTGGAGCTGGAGGCGCTGGAGCTGTTCCTGCTGGTGGTGCTGCTAGTGCTGGAGCTAGTGGTGCTGCAAGAGTTGGAGCTGGAGACCCTGAAGCTGGGGGTGCTTGAGCCGTCTTTGCTGGTTCTGGTGGTGCTGCACGGTCGCGGCCGTACTTCGTTCCACTCCTTCAGCAGGTTCTTGGTCTTCCGCCTTCTACTGGTCCTACTCCTCCCTTAGAGTGTCCACCGCCTGTCCAGTCGCAGTCACAGTTACCGTCGGCCTCCCCACTGCCTGGTCCTTCTCTTTACACTGGACCGACCTGAGGTCTTGCTGAGCGTCGTGAGCCTGCGTCTCGCCCTGCGTCGCCTGTTCGCGCTACTCGCACTAGTCGTCGTGTTCCGCATCCGCGTCCTCCTCCTGTCCCCGGCACGCACCAGATGGCACTTCGTCCTTCCTCTGTTCCACTGCGTGTCCCTCTGCCGTCTCCTCCTGCGTCCTCCCTTTCTGACGGTCCGGACCCCGAGTGTGACTCACTTCGTGCTGCCAGCCCTACCATCACGCGTCTACTAGCTACTGTTGTCACTGACCCTTCCTTTGAGTCCACTGCTGCGTCTGCCTTAGTTGCTGAGCTTGTCGACTTTGCTGCTCACTGTCGTCTAGACTACGCCGCTAGTCTTGTTGCTGTGTCTGAGTCTGTGTGTCCTCCGTCCGTCGGGGGTGAGTGTGCTCTTGGCACGGACGTCCTTGAGGACAGGCAGGAGGACTTTGAGTACTTTGCAACTGCTGTACCTCATCTCGTGTCCATGCTGAGTGCACCTGAGGGAGACCCGGATGCACCAGACATCCCGACCTCGCGCTCTTATGCAGAGGCGATAGAGGGTCCTTACTCCTCTCAGTGGCAGTCAGCCATGGACGCAGAGATGGCATCCTGGAAGTCCACAGCACTTATGTCGATGAGGTTCCCCCTCCTGGGGCGAACATCGTCAGTGGCATGTGGATTTTCAGGGTGAAGCGGCCGCCGGGTTCTCCGCCTGTCTTCAAGGCGCGTTACGTTGCTCGAGGCTTCAGTCAGCGAAAGGGAGTTGACTTCTTCCAGACCTTCTCCCCGACCCCGAAGATGACCACTCTTTGGGTTTTGCTGCACGTCGCCGCTCAATGTGACTACGAGCTTCACTCTCTTGACTTCAGCACTGCTTTCCTACAGGGCAGCCTGCACGAGGAGATCTGGCTGCGCCGCCCACCTAACTTCACTGGGTCGTTTCCTCCTGGTACCTAGTGGAGCCTCCGGCGGCCAGTCTACGGTCTCTGCCAAGCGCCTCGCTGTCAACGGGATTTGTGTTTGGCCCCGTCCTCGCTTGGGCGGAGTCGAGCGTGGGAGCCACGAAATCGTGGTGGACCGTGGGAGCCACGAAATCGCGGTGGACCGTGGGAGCCACGAAATCGCGGTGGACCGTGGGAGCCACGAAATCGCGGTGGACCGTGGGAGCCACGAAATCGCGGAGGACCGTGGAGCCACAAAACCGCGGGAGGACCGCGGTGGCCGAGAAACCGCGGGAGGACCGCGAAATACCCGGTCGACCAGGATACCCGGGCGACGTGCGCGAAAGTCGCCGGGGATGTTGTCTACGAAGACGATCTCGGGGGTGGTATCCCGAGGTCGACGTGGCTGGTGGGCGCCGTCACGGGCGGAGTGTCTGCGCTGGGCATGTGACGGGGAGTTGGGCGCCAACCAGCTGCACGCACCTGCGAAGCTGGTGCACCGTTGTCCCGCGGATGCAACGCTGTGCATCCGACATACTGCAGCGTTGGCACACCGCGGACTTGCAACGTTGGCAAGCCGCGACTCTGCTCTGCTGGAGCGCGGTCGATCAAGTCGTGCTGGCACGCGGTCGACCATGCTGCGCTGGCAGTGGACCAGCAGCCTTGCTAGGTCTGATGTAGTCAGTGTTGCCAATGTTGGTACAATCATTCTGAACTTTTGTTGTCACGTTTTCCTAGTGAAACTCTTGCAAATTTTCCCCGTGAACTAGCAAGCAGTGTTAGCACTAAGGAACGACTAAGGAAGGAACGAACGCTACGATCACTCTTGCCCCGTGCCTAGCCCGTAGTCTAGCTCCCGTTGCACTAGTTATCTCCGCATGGTGCGGTGAGCGTGGACGACACTGCGACGAAACCTTTGGTTTAGCTGACTTCTCACTCACCTAGCTTGTTCGTAGACCGGCAGCTGTGCGGTAGTCACTATGGTAGGAGCCGTGAGTGACGGAGGGGTGGTGGACACCCTGGAGGCACGGGTGGAGAACGCGAGGAGAAAGCACGAGGCCAACGAGTATGGCGACATCCCCTGGACGGTCGTCGAGGCTGGCATCCGCTCCTTGTGGGCGACGGAGCACCCTCCCTCTCGGCCTGCGTCTCCTTGACCGGTGAACAACGCGGGCGGCGTCGACGCGGACGTCAACGCGGGTGGTGGCCAAGTCGGCAGCAGCGCGGGAGGCACATCGAGGCAGCGAGGTGTGATTCACACCGATGAAGTTTGCGGCGTTCAGGCGCGAGGGATGCAGTCGTCCGCAGCTGCAAGGGCCCCGCGAAACTACGTCGGAGGCAGACGAAGTGAATTGGCGCCGATGTCGGCGACACACGTGACCACGGGAGGAATTGCGCCGAGTTACGGCTACTTCAAGTTTACGCCGGACAGGATCTCGGTCACCCCTCTGCTGGTCGGTCGTCCCGACATCCTCACGTGGAAGGAAGCCATCGAGCCCCAGCTGGAGATGGCCGGGCTGATTGGCTTCGCCCGCGGAACCGTGGCGACGCAGGAGGAGCACTACCCCGACCTGCGAGCGGAATTTCGCGCCGTGCAGCTGCTGACCTTTACGGTCATTTCGCGGTGCTGCTCGCCGGGCGTACAGATCGCCCTGAAGTCGTGCAGGGAGTACCTCGACGCTGGCCACTGGGCGTGGCATTTCATCGAGTCAACTTACCAGGTCACCTTGTCGACGTCGGGAATGCTGGCTGTGCGGCGATCCCGATCACCTCTCCTTCGAGTGCCCCGACCGCAGCGATTCTGACGATGACGACGCGAAGGGAGGCCGCGGAAGTTCTGGCAGCCGTCATCCGCGTCGAGGAAACCAACCGCGAAAAGAAAAGCAGTCGACGAAATCGACCTCGGCGAAGGACGCCGACTCTTCCGCGGGTGGCAAAGGGCGAGACGGTAAGGAGGCGTCGTGCTCGCTGGTCGGTATCGTGGAGCCGACTGTCTCGCTGGCGCCGGAAGCTGGCGAGGATTTCCAGGCGGTGGCGGCAGCTGTGCAGGCGAACCCCGCGGTGGTCCTGCTCGACAGCGGCTGCTCGCACCACCTGATGGGGACGAAGGCGGCCTTCGTCGAATTGGGGCCGAGCGGCGATGTGAAACATGTGCGTGGCTTCAATGGGGCGCTGCAGGACGTTCGCGGCCGTGGCACGGTTGCGCTGCAAGGGGAGGCCGGGAAGCGAGTGCTCATCTCCGACGTTCTCTACGTCCCGGGCGTGCAGGCGAATCTGCTTTCGGCTGGCCAGCTGAAGGAGAGCGGGGTGACGCTGAAGGACGACGGCGATCGAATGTTGCTCGTCTCCGCGGCGGGGGACGTGCTCGGTCGAGCGACGTACACCGGCCGGGTCCTCTGCACTGGCCTACGCCCATGCACGGTAAAGGCGACGACGCCCGCGAACGAGGAGGTAGCTCTGCGGGCGATCGTCTCGGCGACGAAGGCAACCCCGAACAGGCTGCACGCGAGGCTTGCGCATGTTGGCATGGACACGATACGGAGCTCGGCGAAGCACGAGGTCGCCACTGGGCTGGACCTCACGTCGGCGTCTGGCACCGACTCCTCGTGTGTTTCGTGCGTCGGCGGGAAGCTGGCGCGGCACACCTTCCCCGACCACGGCTCCGAAGCCGACGATGTCCTGGCCGTCTTGCACATTGACTTGTGCGGGCCATTTCGCGTGGCTGCCAAGGACGGAAGCTTGTACTTCCTGCTGCTGAAGGACCGCAAGACCCGCTACGTGTGGGTGCGGCCGGTCGCCAAGAAGTCGGACGTGCTGCTGGAGTTCCAGAAGTGGTTGGTGCTGGTGGAGTGGCAG